GTCTTAACTATTCGGCTTATCTCATCCATTTGACTGTTATGCTTACAACTATATACAATCAAACAATTCCCATTTACAATCAACCATTCATGATTCTTAACACTTACGTTTCATATCTATTCTTTATCTATATTACAGCTATTGTTGTCGTGATTTTTTTTGAAAACCCATTCTTTGTTCTTGAAAAATACATATTCAAACGTTAGATTAACAATTGACAATAAACATTCTGATGGTCTTTCCTTTGGCTCTCTTGCTTTGTTGTTTCTTGTTCAAATAAAAAAGGATGTGGGTCTGAGGGAGTGCTAAATTCAAGAGGAGAAAAGCAGATTTTAGTGTCCAAAATCTTTCAAAATCCCTCTAAATCACTGTAAATCAGGTTGAAAGTGTTTAACTTGGTTCGAGATCTTTTAAGTGGTATATTTCCCTAAGTCAAAGGACGGACTTATGGATAAAATAAAATAAGTTAATGTGCGTGTATGTCCTCTTACATTTCAGAAACATCAGACTAACTATGTAAGAGTGCTACGGGAATAATACAACGTCGAAAAGAGTGTGGGTGTAGGTGTGAGTATGGGTTTGAGTGTTTTCTTCCTCACATCCACGCCCACACCCACACTCACACACCACACCCGCACCCGCACCCGCACCCGCACCCGCACCCACACCCACCCACACTCACACCCATACCCACTCCTATTTTTGATTAATATCTGAAATGATCTGTCTGATTGTGCGGCTTTCCGCACCATGTGCTTGTAAGAACAATAGAATTGTTTTTGATAGACCTGATAATATAGCAATGCTATTAACAGCTCTTAAGGCAAATTGTAAACGGCAGATCATTTTTAATAATATGGACAAATGAACTTAACGACGACAGTGCGCGACTAATTATTGTAGTGCAGCATATTCGAGCAGCAAATAGAGTAAATACTAATGATACTTCAAATAATTTCGTGAGAAAAAATTAAATAATAATTCTAAAGAATCAGCATCAGCATCACTACGAGCAGATAGTCGCCAAGCAGTCAGTCATTCCCGAAAATATGTCCAATAGCTTCGTCTGAACTGACAGTACTTTCTTCTAATAAACGAGTACTTAAATCGTTATTCTATGAAACAGCAAATTCCAAATGAATAGTAATAAGATGTTGAAGTGTATTTTTCTTGTGAAATACATTCATGCACAAGTATCTAATAGAAATATGTACCGAGCAATCCATCCATCCAAACAAGTAAAGAGAAAATGAAGAAAATCTGTTGCACATAAAATAACATGTATATTTACACTTGAACAAGAACTGTTCCTGGGTAGCCATTGCATATAACCATTCCCAACACAATTAGAGTAGTTCCAACAATACTAGTTAAGAATGAAGAAACAGTCTACTGCGTCTTGTCGGCTATTATGTTCAGCATAGCTATTTAAAATTCTCTTGTATAAAAATTTGCGACAAAGAAAAAGTAATGTTACACTTAACATGAATACTTCAATAATGGCAACCAACATTTTTAACATTGCAAAATATTAACATAAAATTTCTTGATGAATTGTGGAAACGACAAAAACTGTATCATATTTTAAGAAAGCTCGAATAAAATTAGAAAAAATGATAGCATTTAAAATAGTACAGGATGTAGTTAAAATACTTTTTACATCACAATTTCGGGTAGTAACTGAGATCATATTAGTTTTTGAAGTATCATTAATACTATCATGAAAAAATAACAAAATTCCAACATGAAGAAACTGATTTTTATTTATTGATTTATTTTTTTCTTCATGGGTATGAACACCTACACTCACACTCTTACATGTACGAATTAAACTTGAGAAAGCAGCATCCAAAAAGTGGATATATCATGTCTTTCACAGCTGGTGATAGTTCACACATAGCCTATTTCAAGAATGATGCATCGATCGGCGTCGAAAGTTAAAGTAAATAATTTACTTTTCTTTTTGATGATTTAGAATTAATTATCACAGAGCATCGAGCTTCAATAGAGATTCACAAACATACAATAACACTTCTCTTTGGTAGACCACAACTTATTCTCCTTCGCTCAAAAAAAATATAGATAAGATCATGTTTAAATCATCGGACGATACTACTCACCCTGGTAGCGATGGATCGACATGAGCTCATGTTATTCTAACTCAGCTACGAATAGATTCAATTGGCTATAAAAAGCAGTTAATTCTATACGAAAACATTCTCCACATAGACATTTTGTTCCTTTTTTTATTTGTATTGCTGATTTCCTGAAGGATGATCGTTATTGATAATCAGAAATAAAATTCTTTCCGTTTCTTAATTCGTTTTTAGTGCATATGTATAAGAACTCAAGTGAAACATTTTAATATATAAAATTCAACTCGAGATTTATTTAAAATATTTTATTCTTCTTTGTATAATGACGTTATCAATATCGAATACATATACAATTGGAGGACTTAGCATACTAAAGAATAGCATTTTCTAAGATTTATAAAAAAAATAAAAATAAAAATATTTTGACACTGGATTTGCAAAGAAATGTATAGGTTTTTATTGAACTTTTATATTTTTATTATATATTTTAATAAATCTAATAATAATACTAGTAATAATTAACAAATGTGTGAAATAAAATATGACTACAATGAGAAACTTTAACACAATAAATTCTTGTTAGAAATCATTTTCGTCGTGTTTTTCTATGTTTCAGGCAAATGTGTTTAAAAAAAAACAAAATGAAAGTGTGGGTGTGAATATGAGTGTTCTCTACAGGCCCATCTACATCTACTCCCTTGCCAGGGTCAAACACTGAAAGCTATTTGGGAACTTGATAGGTTGTGCAATATCTACATTATTCGCTTATTGATAAAGCTGAACATCTTGTAAATAGGAAAAAAATTCAAAAAATTAGATCTCTTAGAAATAAAGTTCATTACTATCGATTTCAACATAATATAAGATCATGAATCACATATGAGAATTTATCGATTCTTTTAGTACCTCTTTGACAGTTATGTTTCTAAAATGTGTAAATACTGGTCAGAAAATAGTAGAATGTTGTAGTTATATCTTGTGTAACTCTTTAGTATTCAAACAATTTAATAATTTATAGAATAATTTTGTGACATAGATTGAATAATCGAGAATTATGTTAGCACTATAACCATATTGTTCGAACCAATAAATAAAGTTAAGATTTCTTTTTTAATTTAGATTAATTTTCTTGGTGAGTTAATAAAGCGTATTGTTAGACAACGAGTTCTCGCTAGGCATCACGTAATGCTTGTTTCTTCGATTAACTTTATGATTGAACATAATTCTTACTAATTTTTATTCTTTTTCGTCAAAGTTACTTTACAAAGACTTAAAAGAATTATCTAAATTCGATAATTATCCAGAATAAAGGTGTATGAAAAAATTATTCTCAGTATGCTCATTCTTAATGTTTTTCTTTTAGAACTTTTGTAGCAAAAGTAAAATGAATTCCACTTATAGTACAATATGCTAGAGTGCAAAATTATGAGGATAATTTATTCATTTTAAATGGTCTACCACTGTTGACCTTTTCAAATTATATTTAATGCCCGACGATTAGATCTTCGAACATAATATAATGAGAGTGAAGATATTGTTTTTGAATTTAAGAACACGAATGTTGTTTTATTCACCAACATAACGAAGAAGAAATATTGCATAGTTCTACAATTTTTTGCTTTCTGTTATAATCATAAAAGTCAAAGAAAAGTATTAGTTCATTACAGAATAAGTAGAACAAAATATAATAACAGCAACAGATAGATTGATAGAAAAAGTTCAAAAACGAAATTTTAATGAAAAAAAAGAAAAAAATCTCAAAAACGAAGTAATAAACAACAAAAACAAAAGTTTCAAGTGAAAAATGTTTGTTTAGACAGTCCAAAACATTTTATGCATATCATTTGACGATTTAGTTCTATCCAGTAGGTTGTTTTGACTAAAATAAGAAGAGGAAATATGAAAAAAAAAGAATATACGTGAAGTTACTTGACGCTATGGGTAAAGTCACATTCTGTTCACTATATAAAACTCTTTCGTAATTTTAAACCTAACCACTCCTTTTTTCAAGAAAACCTTTCTCATTTTCAAATTAAAAATACTTTAACAATCATTCTTCATCGTTTTAACAGACTATAATTGTTGAAAATAATCTATGAAATATTGAAGATTATTAAATCGATTATATAGTCAATAGACGAAAGACGAATTCAGTTCATTGAAAAACAAAAATCAATATAATGCTTCACCATATGTGGAGGATGTAAATATAATAATAGGAGTGTTTCGAATAGTATGCTTGAAGAAACAATTGTAGTAACTAAGGGTTGTGAGAAAAAAAAGAATAGAAAAAAAACTATCTTAATAACAACGAAATATGACTTGGATCAAAATTAAGAATATGTATTATTTCTATTAATATTTTCTGTACTTTACTATCATTTTGGTTCAAATCTCATTAAAAAAAATACATATTTGGTTATACTAGTTGATCCTAAAATTTCAGTCAAATATAATCGCAGAGAAGAATCTTTTATAACAACAAATAAAAAACTAAAATAAAACATCAAGAAAACAAATCTAATAAGGTATGTTAAAAAACAAAAATTTGGCAAGAAAGTCGTCCATTTTACGAACGAGGCAAAGATCGTCACTTGAATACGAAGATTCAAAGCTGTTTATTCGTAAAATCCTTAACAAAAATTTTAGTTAAAGTGAACTTTTTGTTTTATAAAACTATGACATGATTGATCTGTTTATACAAAGTTTCAGTTTGTACTTTCTTTGTCTTGTACCATCTTTCTTTTCAAGAGAATTCTTACTGTAGCAAATTATTTAACACAAGTTAATCTACGTAATTTTGCGTAGAAAGAAAGTTTTAAACTAATCATCTTAACTCAATCACTTTTATACATGGTTCATATTTATAAATATTTTTTTTTTATATTACAAATAATGAGCATTTCATATTAAACTCACTTTATTTTTAATATTAAATTGAACACTAACGTCAGTACGATAATCATGAGCTGAAAAATCTTCATCATCTGAAATTGTAACATTTCGTTCGAACCAAAATGATGTTGCTTGACATATTTGTTGGAAATCATCTATTGCTTGATCAAAATTATCATCAAAAATTGGTCCAGTACATATTAATTGAAAATTTATCAATTTCATACAGTATATGGATAATAAAGATTCCCATTTCTTAGCATCAAGTAAATGATACCAACCCCACATGAATAATTTTTTTAAATTAGATGTTTGCTTTAATAAATATTCGACATGTTCAAATGTTATATCATCTGATAATTTTACATGCAGTTGATTACATTTAGGTAGCAACGACATAGCAATTATAAATGATTGATATTGTTCGTTAGATATATTATCATCAAGTAACAAATAATCAGTGCAAAATGATTTAACATTTTGTAGAGCAGGGAGTAGTTTAATTAAATCATTAAAAGTCAACTGGTCGATTGACACATGTTGAATATTTGTTGTTTTAGTTGTTGTAATTAGCGACGTAATGGTGGATGTACCTTGTTGCGTACCACAAGTACTAATGATGAAAGATTTCAATGATGGACAATAATCTTTATTAAATATCGAATGAATGATATACTTCTTTTCTTCAACACAATTACCAACTTCTGAAAAGCCACAAAAGATTATTTCCAACGATTGTAGATATTTCAAAGATGAAAGTTGATTCCAGAATGTAAACAAATTATCATTAAAAGAATACATAAAATTTAAAGATAATAAACGGAGATAAATCAATGAATCAAGAGAAAAATTCGAGAAAAAATGTTATATTTCATTAGAATTCGTAAACTTTAATGATCGAACATTAACAGCCTTCATCGGTGATAAAATATTTTTCATAAAGTAACCATAAGTATCTCGCTTTGTAAAATTTAAATGTAACGCTGTTCTATCAATAATTGCATCAATTCTTCTATTTAAATCGCGAAATGAATACCATAAATCAATTGAATTGAAATATTCAAAGATTTCTCGCCAAAGTTCTACGGATAACAACTCAATTGTATTATGAAATTTATCATCTGACATAATCTATCTAAAACAAAGATTAAAAAAGAAGATATGAACAATAACATATATATATACATATACACATTTATCACACTTTTTGTTTTTGAGAAAATCTCTAGACTAGAACAAATACATAGTTCTAATGTCAAAGTCATTTGAAACTTTAAAAAAAATTATCCGATTACTACAAATATATGTTATCAAAATACGGACAAGTATCTGTTTATTATTCTAGACATAACATACTCAAGCACATAGTTATCTGACTATTAGAATATCACTGATCATGTGCGAAGAAAGGCGTGCACACGTGTATATATGTACAGGGAGAGAGGGAGTGAGAGAAGAGAAAGAAAGAAATAGAGGGAATAATGATGGTATGTCGAACAGAAGTAGATGATTAATCAGTACATAGAATAACTAGTAAGAAGCGATAACAGACCCTTTTTTTACAATTAATATTGATGAATTTCGATAAATGTGAATTAATCGTGAAATGTTAATAGTAATTTAACGATTTGAGGTCACCATCCTATACCGATTACTTTTCTAACTAACTGGTGCACGGGGATACAACTAAGTGAGGATTTGTAGATGAAGAGAAAATCCACACTGTTTTTTTTCTATCGCATTTTAAATAAAAATCCGGAAGGTTGCTTGAATGCATTCTTAGAGTGATCTACCACTATCTATGGGAAGAATGATGAAATTGTAACGCTTTCATTTATCGAGAATTAGCATCGTGTTCGAATCTTCCCTCTCACAGCACTACATTCGTATAATTCTGTTCTATTCTACATGTGTCATACGATTCGTTCGTCTAGGGTCTATGCATGTTGGGTATGGGTATGTGTAAGTGACTTCTTTTTACACTCCACACCTATATCCACACCCTAACTGTGACGATAAAAGAGCGAGATAAAATCTTATTTCAAATTGTACATTCAAGTCGATTTTTTTGAATATATGAGCTATTTATTCATCTGAACTGAAAATCTCAAAGTTTGTAAGTATAATTTTCTATTACAAAGTAATACTGAAATTATTTGTCCTTATATGATATAGACACAATAATAGAGTTTTAGTTCAACAGAACTATAGAAAAAGATTACTTGATTCGAACAAGCTTATTTACTTTTGAAAAAACATGGGAGAGAATAAAAGACAAAATGAGTAATGCTTTATTCTCTGCATATAAATTCTATACTATGTCAGTTACTACTCATTTTCACATACCTGCAAGAAGTAATAATATAAAAAAGTAGAAAATTATCAGTTATTGTCATATGGTTTTATTTATTGTAATATCGTAGATTTATATACGTAATAAAAGTATCAGATACAATGACAAACACTTTAGTTATCGATCATAATCAATACTTATTCACATGAGCTCATTCTATCACTTAATGTTTTCTATCTTTCTACAGGCTATGCTACATTTCATTCTTCTTCTGATTATTTTCCTTCTCTGCTGCCATAAACATAAAAGTTTTGTCATACATCTTACCATCCTCATAACTCACTTAATTTCCTCTTTTATGGGTGTTCATGATAGGGTGTAGGTGTAAGATGTGGAAGTGGGTAGGGATGCAACGATGACGATCATTCATCGGTCCAACTACGCTAACCATACCTACGGTTATCGGCCAAAGCCGGTTTTCATGAAGGAAAAGTTTTTCTAAGAAAATAACGATGTTTTGTAAAGGTTGACGAAAGTAAATCGAGCCCGAGAAATCGCAATCTGAAATCAGTTTTTCGAAATTTTTGAATATTGGTTTTCCACAAAGAAATCTATTCTCGAAAGTCATGTTTTTTCTAGAAAACTTTTCTCCATGAAAAAATCACTTTTTTCCTTAAAGAAAACCTTTTATGTGGAAAGATGGAACTCAATATTTTCAAAAACTGATTTCAGATTCTGATTTCCCGACTTTGATTTACTTCCGTCAGCCTTTACAACAAAATCTTTATTTTCTTAAAAAAACCTTTACTTTGTGAAAACCGGCTTGAACCAATAACCGTAGGCACAGCTATCATAGTTGGATCGGCAACAATAGGTTCGGTTATCGTAATTGGGCCGGTAATCGTACCTATGGTTATCGTCACCGTTGCATCCCTACACCCACACTCACTCACGCCCTAGACATCTTTACGATAAAAGATTTGAATATCTCCACCCTTCTTTAGCCTATCAGGCTGATTTTTTTATCAGTGATAGAGAAGCATTCAAAGTTTCTTTGCATAATAAAAACGTTAGTAAAGTACCTGTTGGAACTATCACCTTTTATCTGAATAGAGAAATTTAACCTTCAACGTAATGATGTGGACGATATTCTGAAAAGATTTCCCATTCGATTTTGACTTCCAATGTAACTAATTAATAGAGAAAGTTTTTGGTAATCTCAACTTTAGTAGAAACTTAAAATATCGAAAGTAAAAATGTCGAAAACAAAAACTCGAATGATGGTGAGAATGTAAGATTCAGGGCGACTTTTATTGCCATAGACCGTCATTTTCAGCATCTCCACTTTTCGACATTCGTATCGGTTTTTGTTTTCGATATTTTCACTTTCGATCAGAGTAGGGAGATACCGAATAAACACGTTATATGATCGATATAATATTTATCTTATTACATTATCTGGACTCCTCAATAGTTGGTCTTTATTTGTAGCAAAAAAAGAGTTCTGACTGTTCAATACAATAATTTTTTAATGTCGATTAACTGTTATATTAAAACCTTTTCCTGTATTTCTTTTTTTTTTTGAAATAATAAACATTGGTTGAAATTTAACTGCTTACTTTTCTAGTGTTCTCAACTAGAAAATATTCAGAGGTCTCCAACTGAGTTTTTGACATTTTGACTTTCGGTCAAAGTAGGGAGAATCAAATTTTTCTCTTTCAATTTGTGTAACGTAGAGTTCACTAGCTTGTTCCATTCAGGAGCTATAAGCATTTTTTCCCAGAGCTCCTAAACCGACTAAATGACTCTCAAAACGCATTAAGAGAGAGGTAACTGGCCACGCTGAGTCGAGTAGTGATGTTAATTTTTCGTTTTGAACCGATCTGAAGTCACTTAATCAAGATTATTGAAATTCTAATATTCCACCGCTATGTTGTGCAGAGCTGATATTTCGAAAATCTCGATTAAATGAAATTGATGATGGGAAGTAATATATTCTGCATAGCGTGTGCGTCATTTATTACTTTGTATAGAAAGAATTTAAATCTTTTTTTCTGATTCATAACTACTAGGGTTCTACAGTTTCATCAATATAGGATTCAAAAGATACTAGCTTCTATTCCTGTTTTATTATTTAAAAAACTAATAAGCATTACAAATATTCTGAATTAAAATAAAGAAAATAAAAATCATATGAATATAACTTGAAATTTCATTGTGTGTAGCACATCGCGCAGTTTCTCCTGAATTGCTGCTATTTTCTCCATGAATTCTTGATGTTGTACCATCCTTCCCTTTACCTGTAATATTACTTTCTTCAATTGACGACATATATGCATCAATCGTTGCCATTCATACAAATCTAACAATTCTTCTACATTGGTTTCATTCATAACTAGTTGAATACATCGAAGATTGCACATATTTTTGATTAAATCAACTATAGTTTTCCAAAAACATGATTTGTAATAGCGGCGACATTTGCCCGTCTTAGGCATTTTATAGTGACCAATATCAAGCAAAAAATGTTTAATTGTAATATTTTGTGTGTATTTGTAGGCTGTTTGATCGTTACACCTATGAGTGCAACCTGATCTTACACAATGTATTTCAAATTTGTTTATTGAACTTGGAAGGTATGAGAAGATGCTACTGAACATATACAAATCGATGGCAACGTCATACCGAAGAGAAAATCGAATCAAATTAGGGAAAATATTTTCGTATTGGTTGATTTCCTTCATCTTCTGGAAGTTATCAAGTGTAAGTGAAATGACATTAGTTAGATTGGCAAAAGTAGTCAATATCCTGGTTGTTGAGAATTGAACTGCATCGAGATCTAAGGAAACAATTTGTTCCGGTTTGATTTGTCGAAGAATCATTTGAAGAAAACAAGAAGAAGGATAAGATAACTGTACTTTTGTTTTACATTGAGATAATACAGGAAGAATATTATCGGAAAATACATTGAGTGCGTCATTGAGTGTAAGATATTTGCCGATTTCAAGAATAATATCCCAACAAAGACCAGTCTGAGTTTGGAAGTCAAATGACTAAAACGAAATTAATAAAAGTGTTTTTTCATAGTGATTCAAGTCGATAATTTCAACTTACTAAAGCTTGTTCATTCTCATCATACTTTTCTTTGAAATCAATCAATTCATGTAATAATATTTCACGAGCTGGTTTGTCATCAGCACCTATTAATACATCATCTTTGATTAATGATGTGAATTCATATTCAGATGTTTTTGACCAGTGTTTGTTTCTTGAAGATCGTCGCATAATACCAATAAACATTGGATATTGTTGAACCGGAAAAACATTCAATACTTGAGTAGAAAACATTTCTTCCCAGACTTGTATCAACCTATTTAAAGAGTACAATATCTATCGTACACTTGTAAATTGTTTACCTATTTCTGTTTGATTCAACTGTTATATCCCATGGCCAGACAATATAATTTTCAAGTAAATATTCAATAATAATCTCTGAACAGAATATTTTCGAACAAACCATATCACTAAACATGTTTTTGTCATTATGTATGTAGACGAGCACTGGGCGACGCTAAAAAAACAAGAAAATGTCTTCTGTGTTTTGTCGAGATAAACAAACTTTTTTAATCTCTGATAAATTGAAAGCTGCTTGACAAGCATCTTGAAGAGAACCCATGAAAAATACTGGACAGCTGTTGTAACGTCTCATAAAACATGCGTGAAAAGATTCGATAGCTATAATTTCATTTTGACATTGAGTCGGAACTTTGAAAATAATAGAATCTTGAATAAATCTTTTTCTTTTTGATAAATAAAAATCAATTTACTAGGACTACGATCGAAGAATTTATGATCATAATCAAAAGTATCATCGTCACTTATTTGTGTATCATCATCCTGCAGAGTTAAATAAAAATAGTTTTTAAGAAATTGAATCAATTGGAAATATGCATCTTTTTTAATGGATGAAGCATAAGAATTTGCTTATTTTGTATTCATACACAAGTATACTTACCATTGTGATCGTTAGTTTAATTATTATCGGTAACAGAACTTCTAAAAAAAAACCAAAAAAACGTACGTCTTTTACTATTTTGAGAAAAACGACAATGACTGCATGAAATAGGTTTTTTTGTTGAACTGGAAAAAACCAACGTTACTCTTATATGTAAAAATCATATGTGAGTCATAGAAGTGGCAGCAGGGAAAGGGAGGAAAGAAAAAACATATATGTGAGAGAATCGAGAAAAAAAATGCCTTTCACAGAAATCGAACCCACACCTTTTGCTATCCGGGCAGATGTCCGAAGCCAATTGAACTAGAAGGTGTTGGTGTGGATGTAGGTGTGTGTTGATGAATGGAAGAATCACATCCACAATCAATGATGACAGATTGAGACATCTGTTAACTATTTTAATTTAAATATTCATTCAAAATATTTCATTCTATATCCTTCATAATTCTTTCAATTCTGGTATTTATCACAGTATTGCTGGAAATAATAATAAAAAAAGGTATTCCTCATAGAGGGTACTACAATGTATTTCATTCACCTATGTAGAATTTCATTGTTGCTTTGATTTTAATTGGATGATGTCCCACCAGATCATAAAAGTGGAACACTGAGAAAAACCCAGTGTTGCAACTTTAAGAGTAGCATGCAACTATACATTTTTTCGATGTTATAATCGTTTCTTTTTCGTTTTTTAGTGTGTTTATGGCAGTATCACAACAGCCAAAAGGTCGAGGACTCGTCGGCAATACGTTCCAGCCGCTCATTCTTCATTAACGAAGAGTTCATCATCAACAATACCGAAAACAACACGTGTCACTATCACTTCAACTACGAACAATGCTTAAAGACTTATCACATTCCCATCGACTCCTAACAGTGGTCGTAGTCATGGTGCTCATCTAAAGCAAATAAATCAAGTACCTGATCCTCACTGGAAGATATCAGACTTAACCATGGCTCAATTGAAGTCAAATATTCGGTCATCAAAGCCAGAAGAGCAGAAAAGCATTGGTCAGAAAATACAAGTTCGGGCTAACTATTTTCCTATTCTTGAGTTTCCAGGTTATGATCTTGTTTATCAATATGATATTCAAATAAAAAATAAAAGTGGTTCCAAACTTACTCGTGAACTTCGACGGTAAACATTTAGGGTGTGGGTGTGGGTAAGGAGCAGATCACAACAACACCCACACACCCATATTCATATCCAGACCCAACACCACCGACATCTATTCTTAGTAGACTACGTGTATAAGAGTTTCAAAATCTTCAGTGCATACAATGGCCGAAATCGACCAGACAAATGCCATGATAAATACTTCTGTTATGTAATTACGTAATATGCTTAAAAACATGCATAGAATGCAACAAAATCGTGATTCAGAATTGAAAGATTGCGCAATTACATGCATCTTTAAATATGGAAAGAAGAATGAATATATTTTGGTTAAATATATTGTTACTACATAGAAAAAACACGTGGAAGATGTTGTCAACTTTTGAGACTTTACCCGATGAAATTATAATGATTATTTTGAAATATTGTGGTGATGTTTATACAATATTAAAAACGTTTCTTGGTTTTAATCAACGTTTAAATATGATTCTTATGGATAAGCGTTTACATTTATTAACTGATTTTTTACATATTCATGTATGCGATGATTATTATAATTCTGAAGTGTTCCAACAATTATCCAAACAGTTATTATCTATAAATACAATAGTCGATGAACAAAAACTTGCTTCAATTTTACAAACATTATTTCGTTTTCATATAAAACAAAAATATATTCAACTAGGATATGAATTTCAATCATTTCTTGAAAACTTTAAAACTATTCGTCAATCATTAACACATGATGAAATTGTTAAAGTCGATCATGAACTAAAAATAGAATTTGATCGTTTATATAATGGCCCTATCCGTATAGAATATATTAAACTCATTATATCACTTGTTTTAACAAAAGGTGCTTCTTGTGCATGCGATGATTATGAATTGTGCCGATTTAATCTGACTAAAGCCGTAAATGAATTATTTCTTTCTCATATTAATGATACTGAATCTAAATGTTCAATATCAATTAATTCATTTTTACAATTATTTAAAATTCTAATTATTTCAAATACTTCTCTAATAAATAATCGAGATTATGTTGGTAATGGTGGTCGTAATCTTGAGTATTTTCTTGCATATACTCTTTATAACTTGGGACATTATTATCATGGTAGATTTTTAAATCCTGTCAATATGAAATATTATCGAGTTACGGTTGACTTATTTCTTTTTGTTATACAATGCCAGAAACAAATGTTTGAAAATGAACAGTATATTCGAGAGAGTATGTTTAGCGTTATGGAAATGATTTCTAAGACGAGTAATGACATGTTTATTCCAGTTATTCAATGGGAAATATTGAAAATAGTTGTTCATGAATATATTATAAAAGCAAGCGAACCATGGGACGATTATTTTATGAATAGATTTAGACAAATATTAAAAAATTTAATTGAAAATAGTCGATTAGATGTTCTTGTATATATTTATCGTGATGTTGGATTTGAACGATTTTTTAACATACGAAATTATACTCGAGAATGTCTGGATTTAATGACAAAAAATCAATGGGGAAGAAAACTATTTTGTGTGATTGTGGATGAGAAATTATTGGAGCTTTTGTTTTCGAAAAAAGATTTAATATTTATTTTATTAGATAAAAAAGAACGTAAATTAATAGAAAAATTATTAAAATTATCACCATGTCTCATTCATCAATTAGATGAAGATGGAAATGATCTTTTACTTTATATATGCCTCAAAGTTCATGGTTGTCGACATCGAATTATTAACTTTTTAATTAAAATGGGATCAAATTTACAAAGAACGAATTATAAAGAACAAAACTTTATCGATGTATTACAATTACAAAGAAATCAAAAATTATTAAACAGACTAATTGAGCACGAGATAGTTATAATTAACATTTAATATTCAATGCTATTTATTATTCTTACTTCATTAAACGAACAATGGAATCATCTCGCTCAAGCTTTTGCATGACATGATAATAAAAATTATAGAAATATATAAATATCATTGTTTTATTCAGCGTAAGGATTGATGTAGTGATGATTCTTCGAAGATCGAATTGGCTGTCACAAAGTTTTTAGTCATTCTACCCTGCACTATGTGTCTATGCTCCCAAAAACAGAGATTCGCTCTTCCTGAATTTGAAATCTACCTGAGTTTACACAGGATATTCACAAGAAAATATATAGCAATGACATAAATGAGCATGACAATATAAAAATCCAATATTTAGATTTTTTACATAACTATATTTCCACTAAACAGATGCGTTGATAATACATTCGACAAGAAATGAAAAAGAATTCTAATGCGCCCTTCTTTTTACTTGAATTGAAAATACTCAGGAACAGCTGTCTCAGTGATAGTTTCAGAGACACTATTTACACTAAAGCGAGTATTTTTTCCTTCTGTACAAAACTTTTATTCATTAAAAATCAGATGACGGTGGTAATTCTCGTGGTGGTGGCGATGGCCAATAAGGCGGAGGTGGTGCTTGTATACGCCCGAGTTCAATGATTGTGTGTGGATCGGTTACTGTATTATTTGTATGCACTTTAATAATGGTATAAACATAGACACCAATATAAACTAAACAAATAGCGATCATAACTGCAGTACAAGTAATTTGTATTTTAATCAAAATAAATTTAATCCAACTAATATTTGTGCTGCTACCTAAGATAATACCGAAGAATTTAAAATTTAATGATTCTTTATTACACAAATTATTTGGCCATAAGCATGTATTAGGATTACGAAGAAATAAAACATCATAAAACAAAAGAACACATGATGCAGCAATCGATATAATATGTACAATTAGTACATATGTTGCACAACTCTGTGATTTTACACAGCAACAAACTAGTAAACAACAAAAAACCATATATCATTGATATTCTATTATCATTAGACTTCAAATACTTACAAACTGTAAACGTTGATATCAAAGTTATTATAAAGAAAAATGAAGCAATAAAACCAATGAAAAAAAAAGAATATTTTATATTAATAATCATACTCCAAAATTCTAGACCAATAATGATACTTGCCAATAATATTTCAACTATTGTTATTAAAGCTAGTAATGATGTTGGCCAAAATCGTTGCCATCGTTGACGTCGATTACGTTTTGAATTAAATTGTACAAATTGCATCTGCTTTGATATTGTTATTTTATTACAACAAAAACTTCGAGTTGATATATATATATATATACATGGTATTTTATTATTTTCTAAATTATGAGTCAAATATCAGAGTAAATATGCCTTTTTGTCTCTGTTGATGAGAATCATATTGATTCTGACATAAGTGCTTATGACTGACGCCAACACATTCAAACAACAACAATAAAAAAGAAGTCATAAAAAAATTAGTGAACAGCTTTTTTTTGTAATCATATAAATAAAATACAATTCAG